CCTGCGTCACATTGCTTCAGCCCACTTCTGATTTCCATAGTAACTGCAGTGGACAGTGCCGTGCTAGTTCACACTAACTATCTTGTCAAGAGTGTGCTGTATGTTTTCACTTTCTGCCACACATAAATCTCCCTGGCCAAGCACTGCTAAGAAGTGTGGGGATTAACATCCCCTGGGGCAACCTTCAATTAATGGGTGTCCGGAGCTTATGGGTATATATCCCTGCCTCCCTCCCTCTAGGGAGGTAATTTTGGGAGGCATTTTGTATGCTTCTCAGGTGGTTCTGGACAAATCAGGCCCATGGGGAGAACCTTGATAACACAGTTTATATTAGCTTGCACCTTCCCTTTCTCATCATCCTAGTTTTCTCGTTTTTGCTTCCTGGGATTATATCCCAAATAAATTGCTTGCACACAAGTCCCTGTAGTAGACTCTTGTGTTTTGTGGGAAGGCAGGAAACTCAAGCTAGAATTCTCATGGTGCTCTCCCTCTCAGAGCCTCCTCTTTGCTTATGCAGAACCACCCCTTCTGTCAAGACTCAGTTCAGGCTATCCCTTTGTATGTCCAAGATTTCAAGTGAAGCTTTGAAAGATTATTAAAAAGGTATACCAGATTCTGTCTAGATCAAGAGGCAGGGAATTTTTAGTTTTTCAGCTCACATTTTTATAGAAAGGAAAATTAAGGACCAAAATGTCAAAAATGGTTGTTTGAAGATGGAAACAATGGGCACTTTGAATTTTCTTCTTTCTGTTACACTGTATTTTCTAAAATTTCTGTAACAAATATGTCTTAATTTTACAGTAAGGAAAAAAATAATAAAAGTTAACATAAAAATTCAATCAAATGGAATTTTTTAAAGTAATTTTATTAAGGCATAATTTACATACCATAAATTCACCAAATTTGAGGATATAATTAAAGGATTTTTAGAAAGTTTATTAAGTTGTGCAACCACTACCACATCCAGTTTTAGAACATTTTCTTCTCCCCAGTACGATTTTTCATATCTGTTTACAGTTAATCCCCATTCCCACCCCAACTCTAGGCAAACATGAACCTACTTTTCTGTCATGACAGATTTGTCTTTTCTGGACATTGTATATAAATAGAATATCATATAATATGAAATCTTCTGTATTTGACTTTTTTAATGTAATATTTTAAAAGTTAATTCATGTTGTAGTATTTATCTGTATTTTACACTTTTTTATTAGTATTGATATTTCAATATGGCCCTGCCAAATTTTATTTATCTCTTCACTAGTTGAGGGACATTTGGGCTCTTTCCACTTTTTACCTATTATGAATAATGCTGCTGTGAACATTAATGTATAACTCTTTGTGGAAACTTATGTTTTATTTTCTTGAGTAGATATATAACAGTGAATGTCTGACCCATATGAAAAAATTATATTTAAACTTATAAGAAATTGCAAAATTGCTTTCCAAAGTGACTCTACTACTTCACATTTCTGTCAGCAGTGTATGAGAATTCCTATTTCTTCATATTTTTTGTCAACACTTGTTATTGTCTTTTTATTTATTTATTTTTTACTAACTTAAGTATTTTGTTGTTCAAAAAAAAAGTATTTTGTTGTTCAGTTGCTCAGTCACATCTGACACTTTGCTACCCCATGGACTGCAGCACGCCAGGCTTCCATTAAATACAGTTAATTTAAAATCCTTTATTAGCTTCAACTGGGCATATACCCAGAGAAAACCATAGTTCAAAAAGACACATGTACCTCAATGCTTATTGCAGCACTATTTATGATAGCCAGGACACGCTATTGTAACAACCTAGAGTATTGTTATTACACAAGACAACTTAAATGTCCATCAACAGAGTACCCCAAAGAAGATGGGGTACCTATATACAATGGAATATTACTTAGACATAAAAAGGAATGAAATGAGGTCATTTGTAGAGACACCTAAAGACTGTGATGCAGAGTGAAGTAAATGAGAAATAGAACACAAATATCATATATTAATGCATATATGTGAAATCTGAAAAAATTGGTATAGGTGATCTTATTTACAAAACAGAAATAGAGACACAGACTTAGAGAACAAATAAATGTACGGATGCCAAGGGGGAAAGGGGGAGTGAAATAAATTAGGAGATTGGGACTGACATATATACATTATTGATACTATGTATAAAATAGATAACCAATGAGAATCTACTTTATAGCATAGGGAACTATACTCAATGCTCTGTGGTGACTTAAATGGGAAGGAAATCCAAAAAAAAGGATATATGTGTACCTCAGCTGACTCACTTTGCTGTGCAGTAGAAACTGACACATATTGTAAGGCAATTATTCTCTAATCAAAGTTTAAAAACTAAAAAAAATACTTTTCAGAGCCCCCCAATATATTAATTTTACATGTACAGCATAGTAATTCAGTATTTTTATAGATTATACTCTATTAAAAGTTATTATGAGATAATGGCTCTAATTCTCTGTCCTATATAATATTAATATGTCCTTGTTTCTTTTATACATAGTGCTTTATATCTCAGCCCCATATCCCTAATTTGCTCCTCCTTTTTGTTGTTTTGATCATAGCCATTCTGGTGGATGTGAAGTGGTATTTTATTGGGTCTTAATTTGCATTTTCCTGATAACTAATACACCTTCCCTGGTGGCTAATAATGTTAGGCATCATTTCATGTGCTCATTAGTCATTTGCACCTCTTTGGAGAAATTTCTATTTAAATCTTATGCCCATTTAAAGAATTGAATTGTCTTTTTATTGAGTTGAATATTTGTGTTTTCTGGATACAAATTTTTTTGCTATACATACAAGTGATTTACAAATATTTCCTCTGTGGCTTGCCTTTTTACTTTCTTAATGACATCTTTTGAATAAAAATGTTTTGAAAAAATTTAAAATTTGGAATAATAAAGAGTCACAGACCTTACAAAGATATTATCTAGAGAGGTCCCCTGTACCATTCATCCAGTTTAACTCCCAAATTTTGAATTTTGATAAAGTTCAATTTATTAGATTTTTTCTTTTACAGATCATGCTTCTTCGGTTGTGTCTAAAAGAAACCTTTGCCTAACTCAAAGTTCTTTTTTTTTTTAACTCAAAGTTCTTGACATTTTCTCCTGTTTTATTCTAAAGGTTTTACAACTTCAGTTCTTACATTAAAGTCTCTGATTTTGAATCAATTTCTGAATATAGTGTAAAGGGTATAGCTAATCTCTTTGTTCATTTTGCATGTGGATATTCTGTTGTTCCGGCATCATTTGTTGAAAACTCTTCTATCAAATTGCTTTTTTCAAAAATTAATTGGCCATAAATATAAGGGTTTATTTCTGGACCCTCAAATTTGTTCCATTGATCTATATGTTTACCCTTGTGTCAGTACCAACCTATTCTGATTACTGCAGCTCATATTAAGTTTTAAGATTAGGAAATGAAAGTTATCCAACTTTTTTCTTTTTCAAAAAATTTTGGCTATTCCATGCTTTTGGATTTCCTGCTTCCCAGGTGGCTCAGTGGGTAAAGAATATGCCTGCAATACAGGAGACACGGGCTTGATCTCTGAGTTGGGAAAATCTGGAGGAGGAGAAGGCAACCCACTCCAGTATTCTTGCCTGGAGACTCCCATGGACAGAGGATTCTGGGAGACTAGTCCATAGGGTCACAGTCAGACACAACTGAAGTGACTTAGCACAGAGCACACACATACATTTTAGGCACAGGTTGTCAACTTCTGCAAAAAAACCTGCTGGAATTTTGGTGGAGATTGAGTTGAATCTAATGAACGATTTGGGGGAGAACTGCCATCTTAACGACATTGAGTCTTCCAAACAGTGAATGTGAAGCGTTTTGTCCCTCCATTTAGAATGTATTTAATTTTTCTCAGCACTGTTTTGAAATTTTCAATGTTTAACACTTGTACTTCTTTTGTCAACTTTATTTATATGTTATATTCTTTGTAACATCATTGTAAATGGAACTGCTTTCTTATTTTTGTATTCAGATTGTTCATTCTCATATATAAAAATACAATTCATTTTTGTATACTAATCTTGTATTCTGTGACATCGCTGAACTTGTTTATTAATTTTAATAGGGGTTTGTGTAAACACATGGGTGTATATTCCTTAGGATCTTCTACATTTAGAATCATGTTGTCTGCAAATAAGGACAGTTTTCCTTCTTCCTTTCTAATCTGGATAGGTTTTATTTCTTTTTCTTGTAATTTTATTGGCTTAAACCTCTAGCATGATGTTAAACAGAATTTGCAACAGCAGAAATTCTTGCATTTTTTTAACCGTTAAAGTATGATATTAGTATTAGCTTTTCATAGATGCCATGTATCACACTGGGGAAGTTCCCTTCTCTTTCAAGTTTGTTGAGAACTTTTTACTATGAATTAGATTTTACAAGTGCTTTCCCTGCGGTTATTCAGCTGATTGTGGGTTTTTATCCTTTACCCTATTAATATGATACATTACTTGATTTTAAAATATTAAGCCATCTTTGCATTCCTGGGTTGAATGGTACTTCATCAGATTGTATAACCCTTTTTATGTGTTGCCAGATTCAGGATCAATCTGACTTTTACAGATATCCTGACTTTGAAAGAAATGCAAAAATTAGTCAAGTGAAGTGGTTTCTTTATACAATCTTTAAGGTTTTAATCACTTATTGAAAACTAGAAAATTCAAGTATCAGTTTTATTCATCATTAGGACCAATAACCCCAAAGTTTCAAAACATTTCTATTGAATATAATCTATTTTCCAATTAACACTGTACAATGTGTCTTCAAACTATGCATTCTTTTTACACTATACAGATATTTTATTCACCTGGACAAGAGGAAGTCAATTTAATTTTTCAAAAGCTTATTATTAATTTTTCAGTGACATCTTTGAGAGCATTATTCATTTTATCATTATCATTACAGGTTCAAACTTATAATCTTGTTGAAGGATAAAAACTCAGACAGTTCAAACTATGCCATTTTAATATCTAGTTCTGGTTTTGAACAGTGAACATTATAGATTTATCTCCATTATCATCTTGTTTTTTCAAAATGAGTTTGAAAAGGTCATTCTCTTTTTCACAAGCTAGAAAGTATCCTCTGTACAATGAAGACTCAAACTGTATCTTATCATCATGTCCTGGAACACTTCTCTGAAAGAATATGATGTCATTTCCTTCATTATCAATGTTATCAGGAGGATTCATTTCCTATAAAGAAAAAAATTGCTTAATTTTTTTAGGACATGACCGATTTGAATATGTGTGGTTTATTTTGAAATATTGCACAGAACTAAAGATGCACAGAACTAAAGAAGTTTATATTCTCAAGAATAAAGAAAAAAAATCTCTGAAGGTAGGAATACTGATCTCCTCTCCCTCTTAATCTCTAATCTTCCATTCTTCTTGACCATTTTGGCTTTCCCCACTATGCAGTGCACATTTAGGTCCAGGCCTCTGTTTTTCCCAATATACCCATCAGATGATTTCCTTCTCTCCTTTGCCATTCAGTGGAATCCATTATCTGCTCAAGATGAAGTAGAGCTCCAGCAAAGGCCACAGCCTTTTTAGGTTAATATAAGTTCTTGTCTTCTTCAACCATTCACAACTGTAGACACTGATGACCTTCAGCCATAAGCCTAGGGTAGCTCCAGTTTGTGAACCAACTGTGAGAGGAAGGAGCAGGAATCCCAGCTGCTTCCTTCAGTGGAGCCAAGAACCGAAACCAGCTATAAATAGACCTGTTACTTGTTCCAGGGCTTGGTCAGCAACTTTTGGTGCTTCCCTGACAAGCATTTCATTTCCATAATTATCCTGAATTTCTGTCCTGAAAGTAGTCTGTCTCTTGGCTGGACCCTGCCCTGGGAGGTCAGGTGCTGATTCCTCCGTCTCAGTGGCAGAATGGGGTTTTCCAAAGAATGGCTAGATCCCTTGAAACTATAACCCTTCTGGTCACCTAACTGACACTACTGCCTGTGCTCTTCCCATTAGCGCATCATGCCTACTTTTCAGGATGGACTAGAAAATGTGAGGACCTCTTCAGGTTCTTTCCATGTTAATCCCAGAACCAGCAGAGTATTTGAACTTTATTTTCACCCTCTGGTAGCAAAGATCTTCATGATCCTAACCAAGGACTGACAAAGAGACCTCTAGACCCAAAAGAGCATCGCAGTATCCTCTGTAGATGCCTGAAAGGACCTATATTTTTCCCCCAAACTTCTCAACTGGAATTTATAAAGCCATAACTCTTGACCTTTGTCCTTTATCAACAAGTGTGAATCTGATTTAATGACACTATAAACTAGTTCTCCCATTCTACTATTTCCCAAGCACTATTTTCATCTTCCTGACACTGTCCCCAATCTCTCAGTAAGAGTCTACTTACATGTGAAAGTGAAGAGTTAGTTGCTCGGTCATGTCCAACTCTTTGTGACCCCGTGAACTGTAGCCCACCAGGCTCCTCTGTCCATGGGACTTCCCAGGCAAGAATGCTAGAGTGGGTAGCCATTCCCTTCTCCAGGGAATCTTCCCAACCCAGAGATTGAACCTGGGACTCCTGCATTCCAGGCAGATTCTTGACTATCTGAGCCACCAGGGAAGCCCCCACTTACATATAGATCAGGCTTTTCCCAGTTTCTGATCCTATCTCGCAGATGAATTAGTTTTCCTCTATCCCACATGGCTTGAGCTTGGCCATCTCCCTCCTTCCCTTCTGATTTTGTTGCTAAGTAACAACATGCTTAATCCTCTCCACCCTGCCTGTCTACCTCCAGGCTTCTAAAGCCATTACAGTAACTGAGCTTCCTGACTGTCAGATCAGAGAACAGGGATTCCAAATTGTCACTTGAAGGGGTGGTACTTTGCTTGGAAGGGAATGGCTAAGGGTTTTTCTTTTCTTTTTTTGGAAGCTCTATTTGTTACAGATGCACTGATCTTACTTGGATTATATTTTAGTGTGGCTTTTCCTTCTGTCCCAAGTTGCTCCTTTGCATGTCTGTGAAGGTCTTACTCTAACTTTCAGTGTGAACTGGGTGATCTTTATTGTAGTTCTGTATTGGCAAATCTCCACTCAGAAAGTCTTCATGACATGAAATTCACTTTTGAAATACTGCCAATATGTGAGCATCCCCTGGCTGCTCTCATTGGGAAGAAAGTTTTCTGATTTAACCCATATCTATAGTTGGTTGTTTATCTAATAATAATGGAAAAACTAGAGAAAAATAATGATGGAGATAGAGAAACAAGCAGTGGCCAAAAAGAATTTATATCTGGCTTTGGGATACATCATACTATTACTTTACAACTGATCCTATTAATTTTGTTCACTTAGATTAACGTTGAAAATAACATATATCAACTGAATGTTATGTTGCAAGGTTGTAGCAAGACTTAGGCTAAGAAGCAGGAACAAAATGATTAGGGGTTAAAATATTATCATCATAATTTACACAGTAGAGGGTTTACAGAAGAACTATTAACTTCATTCCTTTAGCAGGACTTACTCTGGAAAGCCACATACAGTTCTTAAAATAAAATAGTTCATAAATTATTCTGTTATTATTTATCTATAGGTTGATTATTCAGAAGACCTGGATTATGAAACAAGTGTGGAAAACCCTCTCTCTCTATGGCAAGATTGGAAAAACCATGATGTTATTACAGTAGATTAAAGAGTTTAACAATTTTCAGTAACTATGTTAATGGTTCTCTACTTCTTGCTATTCTTGTCCAGACAAAAGGTTGGACTGGGGATATTTGGGTTTTCTAATTTTGCACATAAATATGACTAAAACAAATTAAGGCTCAGTCTTACCTTAAAGGAAAGAATTTTGTTCTCACAGGAGAGAGTAGACATTTTCTTACACTGCACAGAGATGGTTACGGCCAGACCTCTAGTGAGGCTGTCTTTGTACATATATATGATAAATATGGTCTGGGGTGCATTATCTGAAACAAACATTAATGAATGAGAACATTAGTTAGAAGAATTTTTGCAAATAAGTATATAGGGGAGTTAGCCAAAAGACAGTCCTTAATAGGCCCATCTCCAATCCCACGCTCTGAGATTCAGTCACTTAGCAGATGGAGACTATGTACATTCATACATTCTTTAAAACATATTTAAGTATGTATTATAATATAAATACAACAGCTTTTAAGTGTGTTAGAAATATTCTGAATTCTAAAAGATTTTCTTTAACTTTTAAACACTAAATAGAATATTAAATCTCTATCTGTTAAAATAAAAATTGAGCATTTTTCAAGAGTACACCATTCACTTTTCCAACTCTGCCTAAACTCTCATATTTGAAATTCATACCCTGGAAGGCACAGTAAACTTATACATTTTCTAAGGCACTCTAAATTTCTGGTGGAAGATAGACTTATTTGAAGTGCTTATATATTTATATTTAATCTTGAGTTTTGAAAATGTTATCAGCAATTTCAGCTATCACCAGCAGGTATTAAGGATCCAACTCAATGGAGATCACATAGAGTCAATGTTGTTACAGTGAAGGGATTGATGATCCAAGGATAGGTTCAAACAGCATGACCCCTAGCACTATCTTTATAGAATCATTTTTTCAGCCCAACTAAAAAATATGGATTCCCTATAAAGTTTCTTGTCAGTGAAATTCCACCACTATGACTTTTCATGTAAGCTACTGTCTATCATAGAAAATGTAAGCAATTAAATGGAATAAGAAGAAGTAACTTGTTATTTCCATATTTACAAATGTATATTAACAATACCTGAACAGTCAGAATCAGGCATATCCTCAAAGACAGGTTGATTTCCCTGGTTAATGAAGAGAACTTGGTCGTTCAAATTTCGTATGATTGAGAGCTTAGGTTCAAGCTTGCCAAAGTAATCTGATTCCAGGTCTTCTAAAATGCACATGAAATCCCATTAAAAAAATCTTTTTTCCAAATTTACAAATAGGCATACTACACATTCCATTTTCAATAACAATCACAATTTTCTGTATTAGAAGCTAAGGTAAAATTGTACAGTGTTTTTAAATGGACTTCCAGGGGACACCTTGATTCTTGTTATCACTCAGAACCACTCTGTTTTTTAAATCTTCAAATATCCTGCTTTTGACCACAATCTCCTATCTTTTTAGTCTCCTTAATACTTTTCTTTCACTTTATCTAGTTTTTCTGATTCTTGATTTTCTTCCTGTCTTCCCTTCCTTCTCTATGCAGCCTGGACCTCATGATTCATCATTTATACCCTTTTGCCACTGTCTTAAATCCCAAACTCATTTATCTTTCCACTGCAGAACTCTAAACCTGGCTGCTGAATGCACTGCTGGTAACCAAATATACAAATGTACAAATTGGTGCAATAACAAACCTTCTTTTCCAGCTCAGCATTCTCTCCCATAGGCCATAGCTGCAATTTCAAGCCTTCTTCATTCTCCTCAGTGTCTCTGCACTATCATCTCTGCTTTCACTTTCAGCAAATGATTTCCTGCTACTTCACTTACAAACTTAACTATGGCATCACCTCTTATTTCCTCTACCCTTCTCATCCCAAGGGAAATGTGAAAAGAGGGCCTCTTCTGGTATCTAAGGCTAAACTCATCTGTGTGTAACGTACTTTCCATGAATCAATCATTCCCTCTCTTCCATCAACTCAGCAATTTTACTTCCTGGATTTTATCCTGAGGAGATAGCAGACAAATGTGTAAATATTTCTCTACAAGAATGTTTACAGGATGACATTAATAATAAAAACAAACTGGACACAACTTAAATGTTCATCAGTTGGGAATTGATTAAATAGATTTTGATATTTCCTTACTATGAATTATCATGAATTTAGTATAATTATGATTTAAAATAATTATTAATTGCCATGAAAAGATGTCCATGTATATTAAACTAGAAAAAGAAGCTTAAGTATGGTATTTTATTAATATATATGTATAAAACATCAAAATAATAGCAATGAATATTTTGGGGTTATTTTCATGTTTTAATTTTTCTCCATTTTCTTATCTTCATTGCTTGAATTATTTATAATTAACAAATTATTTTTATAATCAGAACAACATAAAACTTTTAATTTTGAGATTTAAAGCACTCAATCAATAGAATCTGCTCTAAAGCCTGTCTTGTTTCTTTCCTCCTTGTAGTAGCTGAGCTTCTGCTAAGAATTGTATGCATCATTTCCTTACTTTCCATTCACAGTTCAACTCATTACAAGCTTCTACTCACTGGCTCAATTTTTCCATCAAACTGCTTTCACCGAGATGACCAAATTCCCTGTTGCTAATTATAACAGATGCATTCTGGCTCTTGATTTTCAAGGCTGCAAAATGCAACACGGTGCCTATTACCTCCATCTTGAAATGCTCTCCTGGGGTTGTGGCATTCTCTGATTTTCTTCTTCCTCTTTGGCTTCTCTGCTCTGTTCTTTATTAGCTTCTCTTTCTACCGAATCCTTTAAATACAGGTATTCCTCAGAGTTTAGTCCTTGACTTTTACTTTCTCACGCTACACATTTCCTCCAATTTGTCAGTTACTCTTATAGCTCCAGATGACATTTCTATATATGTCTCTCACATGTGCAGCCCAAATTTTTATCCTGAGTTTAGAACCACATGTCTAAAAATCTACTGGACATCTCCACTTGGAAGTCATACAGGTAAGATCATCAATCACCATCACTAAATACATCTTCTATCTTCCTCTTTGCCTCTCAAACCTCTCCACCTTGCTCTTCCTCCTGTGTTTCCTATTTCACTGAATAGTGCAAATTGCCTACGTGAAAAAACATAGGCATCATCTTTTCTTTCTTTCCATCCTCTTCAAAATCCATGTCCTATTGATTTTTCCAAGTTTTTTTTTAATCCATTCATAGCTCTTCAATGGCACCCCACTGTGCCTATCTTAATTCATGTCACCATCATTTCTTAAAGGGACTACAATAATAGCCTCTTAATTGGCATCCCCTTTTATTGCCCACATGGCAATTCTTTATACTGAAGCTAGAAGGAATTAAAATTCAATCTTAACTAAAGTTAACATTCAGAGAGATGATCATGTTATCTTTCAATTTTAATGAATGACATGGTCACCTTGAATAAAGTTTATATTTTCCATATTTTCCTTGCAGTTTGTGCTATGTGACTAAATTTGAGTCAATGGAATATGAGTGGACTTAATGTTTACAACTTCTAAATAGAGCCTTTTTTTGAGAAGAGTGGACCTGTCTTCCTCTTATTTTGAAGACTTTCTTGCTAGCTGGGATATAGATTCAGAAAGTGTGATGAAGATTTTCAAGTATGTACATGAGTTCAACAACTAGGGGATGATGGAAGAGAAAAAGAAAAACTTTAGATTCCAATATCATCAGGCTGCATCCAGCCATAATAATACTGAACTGCTGCCTACTTGGATTTATATTCAAGAGAAGTATTTTTTTTTAAATCTTATCCAGTTACTCTATTTTGGGATCTCTTTGTTACAGAAAACTAATCTGTATCCTACATCATACATATTGTGCTTAATGAACCCCCCAAACCCAAACATAAGGTTGAGGTTCCATATATCAGAATAAGAGAAACTTACGATCTGCATCCTATTTTTCATTCCTCTCTCATTATTTTCCTACTGCCGCTCCATTCCCATTCTGAATAACTCGAGTCCTTATACATGCCATGTTTTCCTTTACATCTTTTGCATGTGGTCATCTCTGCCCAGAATACCTTCTCTTGGCTAACCCCTATTGACTTTTCAATTCTGTCCTCCTTTAAAATGCGCTCCCAGAACCTACTAGGCTAAGTTAGGTGCCCTGCTATGTGCCCCCATAGCATCCCGTGCCTTTGTAACACTCCACGTTCCAACTGCCTTCCTAATGTGCCTGCTTCTCCCATTAGAACTGTGTTTTGCTTACCATTGTATCGGAGTGCCTAACATAGTGCCAGAGATAGAGATGCCAGTACTTGCTGAATCAAGTAAATAGGTGTACAGCAATCTTTCAGAAACATGAGGAGCTTTATGACAATAGTATCTCAATAAATCTGGAGAAAGAAACCTGAATGAATAGTATTTTTCAAAAGTTCCTGTTTTCTACTTTTGGTCTAGTAGGGATCATGTTAAGAATGGGGAAAGTGCTACTTTTAAGGAAAAGTATGAGAAACTAATGACCTTTAATAATCTGGGGGTCTGTTAGAAGATCATAGGCGTTATATGGGTATGAGCCTCTCTGAATGCCAGAGGGACAAGGGTTGGGTACACTCACTTCTTAGGAAGACTTACTGACTCACCCTCACTGGTCTGTTTGCTCTACCCTCCCCCTTCTCCTCTACTTCCAGAATCCCCTGCACCCCGGGAGCCTGCCAGGCTTCTTTCCAGACCATTCTGAGGGGGAGGGTTGAAGAAGGAAGATGTTCCTGATTTTGGACAATTCTCACCCTTCAGTACCCTGTTCCTATGTACTCCAGAGAACCCATGTCTTTCTGCTAACCTCAGGATGTGTGTAACAGGCAAGGTCTATTTTGGAGATTCTAATAGCTGAGAATTTCCTAAGCTGGGAGAAACGTATTTTGTTGGAAATTCTTTTTTGTATCCCTTATAGTTATCTTTATTCCAAGGCAGTGCTAGTGAGTCCACATTCCTTTGAGGGAATATTAGCTTCTCAAATAGACTGGTCTCAGTTCCTATCAGCTGAGAATGGTATTATGGATGTGTCTGTGGGATGTTTACTCAAGTAGCTATTTATTTTGCAAAGAAAGAGAAATAAAGTTATACTTTACCATCATTTTCAGCTAAAGCGGGGGAAAAAAAGAAACAAAATATGTTAATTCTATATTTCAACTCAGAATGTCCTCTCACAAACCCTTTTATTAACCTTTTCTGCCCCTCTGTATTCTTTAACCCATATCTTACTGCTGATGGCCTTTGCTGGTCTCCATAAAAATATATAATCATCCAAAAGGTCCCATAAAATGAAGCTAATTAGACTTGGTATGTTCTCAGGTATGGTAGGTATAAAACCTAAATCTAGGTTTCATAAATTTAAATTTGTAGTTAAGAAGAAATTTTATAAAGTGATAGATTTTAATCTTAAATTTATTGCTTCAATGTAAAGTCACCGAAGAAACTTTCTATGAAGCTTTCAAGTGAAGCCAAACTGCCCAAGGAAGATTAATCATAAGAATCTGTTTTTATTTGTCAAACATATTTACATAAAATAACTCACAGAACTCTAGATTTAAGATACATATCTCTTATGCAATTTTCCCATTTGTTTTGGGAAATTGTATTGCCCAAATATATCCAATTTTGTGGGATTTTCATGACATGCACCTGCAGCCACCTTCTGGGTGGGCTACTACGAACTAAATGCCAGGACAGGTGGCAGGACAAAGTATTGGGACCTTGGACATACTACGATTAATTTCTAGAGGCCCAATGTTTTTTTCCAGAGAAGTGTGTGTATTACAATGGAATTTGGTAACAAAAAACAAGTCACTTAATAGTTTGCCTATAACATCTTTTCTAGTTGAATGGTTGTTGTTCAGTCACTCAGTCGTGTCCAACTCTTTGTAACTCCATGGACTGCAGCACACTAGGCTCCCCTGTCCTTCACCATCTCCTGGAGCTTGCTCAAACTCTAGTTGAATACATATATCTAAATCCTGCATTTGGCCCACTGTTTTGAACTTACCTACAAAATAAAGTGTATTGTTAATAAATTTCATTTCCACAAAGCTGATGCAATTGTCTTCTACTGGTTCTGCAGCCATCTTTATGCCTAATGAAAGCAAACAGTCATCTGTTAAAAGGTAGTGATTGTTCCTTTTACACAAAAGGAATCTTTTACCGCTTACTGCCTTGTTCTACCTCCAATTTCAGATGTTCAGCATGTTGATGAACACTCTGGACATTTAATAAATGCCAGGAGTCTTCAGTTTATGAATGCCTGTGTTCAAATGGTCTCTTGCAAACCATTAGATATTTGAAACCTAGATAATGGAAGTATATTCTCTTTAAACAGTGTTATAAAGGGAGGATAAGCAGTCCATTATTGAACTGATTTACTATTCCAGTATTTTGTTGGAAATATACATATATTATCAGTATAAACATAGGATGCCAGAAACATATCTAATCCTGTCCTTTCATTAGGGACTGGTTCCGTCTCAGCCTTACAACCAATGGGATCCTGTGAGTGAAAGACTGAAGACTGTGACTTCACTGTCAAAGTGCTAAAGGTGAGGCAATGCTAAAAATGGTGTTTCTGCCTGGGAGTGGGGGTGGGGTAGGAGGAGGTTGAAGAGCTCTGCATTTGATAGCTCCCTCTCTGAACCAGAGGAGCTTTTGATCGGAGTCTGGACTGGACTATGTTGTGCTTTTAGCACAAGTAATACATAAATAATGTTTCTGTTAAAAAAAAAATAAAATAATACAGAATTTGAAAATGCTAAGAATTTTTTTGCTCTTTTTCTCTGTTCCACTCCACCCAACCTCACTCCAAAATGGTGTGTATCCCTCCAGACCTTTGTTTATGGAGCAAGGGTTATAAATCTGGGAAATCTGTGAACTTGGATAGGGGAAAAAACCTCACAAATATTTTCACCAACTTCTAACTGAAATTTAACAGTTCCTTCCATTATGATGCAGGAAACAAACCACAGTATTATTCACAGTATCTGTGATTATCATTAATAGACATACATATTTTCTATTGTATTATAATTATTGCAGAGATCTTGAAATATGGCTTATTACTACTTTGAAACATATGGAAGTTATTATTTTCAACATGACATCTTGTTATTTAACGTGTTAATAAAGACTCACATATAAACCTATTAAAATTTGTTAAAAATTTTTTGGTAACTCTTTAATTATGAAAGATTTCCTTTCTAATCCTAAGTATTTAATTTTATGCATATAAAAACATGATTCTGAAAAGGACTCCACAGACTCATCAGACTGGCCATGGAGGGGGGCGGTCCATGTCACAGAAATGATTAAGAAATTCTACTAGACTTCAGAGGTCCATGGCTCCCTGAGGACAGTTATGGTTGGTCCTCCAAGGAAGATGGTTAGGACAAAGCTGTCAATTAGTTTATATGTCTATACTTAGAGGTTGAGAAATCACTCAAATTTTTTCTAGCACAGTTTGCTAGAGGCCAAACATATATAGAGGAAGGAGGAAATTAAAACCCAGTTGAAAACAATTTACTCATTTTAAGCTAATATAAACTAATTGTTACCTGGTGGCTACTTTTGTTACTTTTTATTATGGAAAATTTGTACACATTGTGAAATGATCACCACAGTAAATTCAGTAACAATCTGTTACTGCACAGTTGCAAAAATTCTTAAAAAAAAAAATCTTTTTCTTATGATAAGAATTTCTAAGATAATTTATTAGTAACTTTCAAATTTGTAATAAAATATTATTGACTATAGTGTACATGCTGTACTTTACATCCTATAACTTATTTATAACTTGAAGTTTGCACCTCTTGATCCCCTTCATTCATTTTGCCTGCCCCTTCCCCCTCCCCTCTGTTGACCATTAATCTGTTCTCTCTGAGCTTTATTTCGTTTCATTTTTTTTTATTTCACATATAAGTGAAATTATACAGTATTTATCTCACTGTTGGATTAAGTGAAATAAATGAGTGTTATGCTATAACACTATCGGATCCATTCATGTTGTTGCAAGATTTCCTTATTTTAATGACTAGTATCCCATTATATACACCACATCTTCTTTATCCATTCATCCATTGATGGATACTTATGTTGTTTCCTATTCAGTTCAGTTCAGTCGCTCAGTCGTATCCAGCACTTTGTGACCCCATGGACAGGAGCACACCAGGCTTCCTCCTGGAGCTTGTTCAAACCCATGTCCATTGAGTCAGTGATGCCATCGAACCATCTTATCCTCTGTTGTCCCCTTCTCCTCTGGCCTTAAATGTTTCCTAGTATCAGGGTCTTTTCCAATGAGTCAGTTCTTCACATCAGTTGGCCAACATATTGGAGCTTCAGTTTCAGGATCGGTCTTTCCAATGAGTATTCAGGACTGATCTCCTTTAGGATGGACTGGTTAGATCTCCTTGCAGTCCAAGGGACTCTCAAGAGTCTTCTCCAACACCACAGTTCAAAAGCATCAATTCTTCGGCACTCAGCTTTCTGTATGGTCCAACTCTCACATCCATACATGACTATTGGAAAAACCATAGCTTTGACTAGACAGACCTTCATTGGCAAAGTAGTGTCTCTGCTTTTTAATATGCTAAGTTGGTCATAGCTTTTCTTCCAAGGAGCAAGCATCTTTGAATTTCATGGCTGTAGTCACCACCTGCAGTGATTTTGGAGCCCAAGAAAATAAAGTCCTCACTGTTTCCATTGTTTCCCCATCTATTTGCCACAGTGATGGGACTGGATGCCATGATCTTTGTTTTCTGAATGTTGAGTTTGAAGCCAACTTTTTCACTCTCCACTTTCACTTTCATCAAGAGGCTCTTTTGTTCCTCTTCGCTTTCTGCCATAAGGGTGGTGTCATCTGCATATCTGAGGTTATTGATATTTCTCCTGGCAATCTTGATTCCAGCTTGTGCTGCCTCCAACCCAGCATTTCTCATGAAATACTCTGCATATAAGTTAAATAAGCAGGGTGATAATATACAGGCTTGATGTACTTCTTCCCCAATTTGGAACCAGTTCATTGTTCCAAGTCCGGTTGTAACTGTTGCTTCTTGACCTGCATACAGATTTCTCAGTAGGTAGGTAAGGCAGTCTGGTATTCCCATCTCTTGAAGAATTTTCCACAGTTTGTTGTGATCCACACAGTCAATGGCTTTAGCATAGTCAATGAAGCAGAAGTAGATTTTTCTCTCAAATTCTCTTGCTTTTTCTACGATCCAGTGGATGTTGGCAGTTTGATCTCTGTTTCCTCTGCCTTTTCTAAATCCAGCTTGAACATTTCTGGAAGTTCCTGGTTCACGTACTGTTGAAGCCTGGCTTGGAGAATTTTGAGCATTACTTTGCTAGCATGTGAGATGAGTGCGATTGTGCGGTAGTTTGAACATTCTTTGGCATTGCCTTTCTTTGGGACTGAAATGAAAACTGACCTTTTCCAGTCCTGTGGCCACTGCTGAGTTTTCCAAATTTGCTGGCATGTTGAGTGCAGCATTTTAACAGCATTATCTTTTAGGATTTTCCATATCTTGCCTATTATGAATAATCCTGCAATGAACATAGGTTTGAATATATCTCTTGGAATTAATGTTTTTGTTTTCAACAGAAGAATTGCTAGATCATATGATAATTATATTTTTGTGTTTTCCATAGAGTTTGCAGAAATTTACATTTCTACTAACAATGCATAGAGTTTATTTTTCCACACATTTTTGTCAACACTTGCTATTTCTTATTCTTTTGATAATTTTAAGAGATATGTAGATGATAAATCGTCTTTCTGATGATTAGTGATACTGAGCATCTTTTTATGTACCTGTTGGTCATTTGTATGTCTTGTTTGGAAAAATGTCTGTTCAGATCCTCTGACAATTTTTAAAGTCAGGTTTTTTTGTTGTTGTTGTTGCTGTTAGGGTTGTGTGAGTTCTTTATACACTTAATCCAATCCTTAATCCAGGACGATTAATCCCTTATTGGATATGATTTGCAAATATGTTTTCCCATTCAAATGTTGCCTTTTACTTTTGTTGATAGTTTTCTTCACTGTGCACAAGGTTTTTTGTTTGACATAGTCTCATTATTTGGAGTCAGAGCCAAATATATATATACATGTATATATATATGTATGTACGTATAGCCAGACTGATGTCAAGGAGTTGTCTGCTTATGTGTTCTTCTAGGAGTTTCGTGGTTTCTGGTCTTACATGTAAGTCTTTAATCCACTTTGAGTTAATCTTTCTGTAGAGCGTGAAACAATGGGCCAGTTCAGTTCTTTTGCATGTGGCACCAGTTTTCCCAATACAATTTATTGAAGAGACTGTCGTTTTCCATTGTATATTCTTGCCTCCTTTTTCATAGATTACCTGCTCATACATGTGTGGGTTTATTTCAGGGCTCTCTGCCTTGTTCCATTAATCTATGTGCCTGTTTTGTGTGTGTGTGTGTGTGTATGTGTGCACTAATATCATACTGTTTTGACTACTATAGCTAGCAATGTATTAATAGTTTGAAATCAGGGAGTATAATGCCTCCAGCTTTGTTCTTCTTTCTCAAGATTGCTTCAGTTATTCAAAATCTTTTGTGGTTCCATACAAATTTTAGGATGCATTGTTCTATATCTGTGAAAAATGCCACTGAAGTTTTAATAGGGATTGCATTGAATCTGTATATTGCCTTGGGTAATACAGACATTTAAATCATATTATTTCTTCCAATTCACAAGCATGGAATATTTTTTCATTTATTTGTATTGCCTTCATTTCTTTCATCAGTGTCATATAGTTTTCAGCATTATAGGTCTTTCATCTCTTTGACTAAGTTTATTCCTAGATATTTTATTCTTTTTGATGTAACTGCAGATGGGATTGTTTTCTTAATTTCTCTTTCTTGTTCTTTGTTGTTAGTGTATAATAAAGCAACAATGTTTGTATACTGATTTTGTACTCTGCAATTTTACTGTATTCATTTATTAGTTCTAACTTTTTTTGGGTGGAGTCTTAGGGTTTTCTATGTATAAAATCATGCTTTCTGCAAATAGTGAGTTCTACTTCTTCCTTCCCAACTTGGACATCTTTCATTTCTTTTTCAT